CTACGAAGAGACACAAAACGACTACCAAGAGATACAAAATGACTACACATTATGCAAAGCAACTACAAAGACACTTAAAAAGACCACAAAGAGACGCAAAACAACGAAAAGAGGCTTAGAAATGATATGGGGCCTTCTGCATGTTTATGCCCAGGGGCCCAGTGTTTCATAATCTGCTCATGTCTGCAGTTAGAAAATAGTGAAAATGCAGTCAGATTACTTGATGTTCAACCAACAGTGCCAAACCCAAAGAATATCGATTTACAGTGACATGAAACTGAAAAAACAGCTTAAAAACCAGTGAATATTTAGAAATTGTGCCTAATAAATGACAATTAATCGACAAAAATAATTATTTTGCGGTAATAGTATCAAAGCACTCTTTCTTCTGCTTTCAGATCCTGAGGGCTCCTTTAGTTTGTTGTGCCTTTGTAGAATCCAACATGCTGTCAGCAACATCGCCTCCAACTGCATCGGGTCTCTCAACAACAGTTCCATCTGCACTGAAAAATTGCCCAGTAACAGCTCTTCAGTAGCTGCACTGCAGCCCCCTGCTTGGTGAGCAGTGAAGCAACGCCCAATGGTTAACTGTTGTCAGACTTTGGAAAGGGGGCTATATTTGGAGTGACTGCAGACCTCCCCCTTAAGTCAACAGCTCTTTATGTGCAGGCACAGAAATGTACACAACATTTCCTCAGAGTGTAGAGACACACACTGCATGGACAGTGCATGTGCTGTTCATCAAGTGTGCATAGGCTTTTCTTCACGCTGAAAGCAGTGAGTGTACGCTCCAATAGGCCGTATGTCATGTGCCATCTGTCATGTATTATAAGTTAATGCAAAAATAATAAACTATTATTATTGCAGTGATGTAAAAACAGAGTTTATCCAAAAAGCCTTAGGATCACTTTGCCAGCTTCTCCATAGGGTTTTAAAACGAGGGTTATATTGGAAGTAGCAGATCCTACCTACTGTTATAAGTACAGACTGAAAGCAGGAGACTGACTTTTCCACCAAGTCATTTATTTTCTGACACAATCCATCAACACTCTGCTACTGTCACTGTCAAGAACCAGCAGGCTTTATTGAAAACATGGAAAGAAAACTGCCTATCCAAGCTCTGTAAGAGCAGGGACTCATTTCAGGTTTATTACCGCTGTGTTGTTAAACATCTGAAACATCCAGGATTCAGTATCGCAGAGGTGAAGCTGGTTGAACTGGCAGGTTTTGGTGTGAACCGCGGAGTGTCATCGTCGTAACAGAGAAACGTGCTTACAGGTCAGTGAGGACAAATGACTATGCATGATTAACACTTGACAGATGGCTACCATCTGTGATATTTAAAGGGTATGATTAATGTGATTCTGGGTATTTGTAATATGTAATGATACCTATGGTTATACAGAACATTTTATAGAGGGTAAGAGGTGAACCGGTCCAGATCAGATACAGTAACAACAGTAACTGAGCTGAAAGAAGTTCGTCACCGAGTGTTTCATCTCTAAAATTTGTCACCAGTGCAAGAGTTTCATCTCTAAAATTTAACAAATTGACTGTTGCTGTTGAAATATAGACAATTTGGTCCAAAAGATAAGTTCGAAAATTGGATGAATTTGCTTTCCACTTTTCTTCCAGTGAATGTTGGAAGAAAACCTGTGGGCAGAAAGCTTGTCATGATTCATTAAATAAAAGCATCAACTGTATAAATGACCTAATTGACCAACTTGATGGAGCCAGTATTGAAGAAAATAGACTCAAAGGTGATCAATATATCAGACTCATCGGGTTTACAAAGCTGGCAGGTGACAGGCAGAGCTCCTTTATGTGACTATCAACTGTTACAAAAAGATGTGGCGTCGCACTGTAATTGCTTTGTGACACATCAAAGAAACATCTTGCATTTCTCTGGACAGCTTTCACTGTGAAATTGTACAGTTGATTCTCAGTATGGTCCGTTACACTGAGTATTATGGGTAAACTGAAAAGCCTGATAATTCAGAGCTGAGAGCATGTAGAGGTTAAAGGTGTTAAAGGGACACTTCAGCCGTTTTACACATAATTAACAGCTTATTCGTCATGGTGACATAAGCCACATATATGCTAGTTTGAGATGAGTCAGGCTTGCCGTAAGCGATCACAGCCAATTGCCGCACAATGTTTGCTCGTTATATGGGAGTCCAACATGCTCTGATGTCATGTACGTGGGCAACAATAATCTCACAAGATTAAGGCAACCACAGTTTCTAGAGCCAGGCGCTGCAGTTGCTGTCCATCGACAAGACCCAGGGCATGATTGGAAATGCCTGGCTCGCAAGTGAGAGCACCCCAGACATCCCTCTCCCCACCAACGCTTTCCAGCTCCTCCAGAGGGACCCCATGGCGTTCCTAGGCCAGATGAGATATGTAATCCCTCCAGCGTGTTCTGGGTCTGCCCTGGCCTCCTACCAGTGGGACGTGCCCGAAACACCTCCAGCAGGAGGCGCCCAGGAGGCATCCTGATCAGATGCCCAAACCACCTCAACTGACCCCCTAAGACGCGAAGGAGCAGCAGCTCTACTCCAAGCTCCCTCTTGATGTCTGAGCTCCTTACCCTATCTCTAAGACTGAGCCCAGCCACCCCACTGAGGAAACTCATTTCAGCGGCTTGTATCCACAGTCTTGTTCTTTCGGTCACTACCCAGAGCTCATGACCATAGGTGAGGGTTGCGACGGCTCTATCTGACTGATCTTTAATGAAAGCTGTTGTCTTCTATTTCTTTCCTGTGTGTTTGACTATTAATGTTTTCAATTTATTGATGTAGTTTGAGGGTGACAGGTCTGCTCAGCTGATTTATACACAGCAGCAAACTGAAATGACGCTGATTTACATGAGAATTCATGTATAATGGAGGCTGAACCATGAACAGAAATCACAGATCGCGTGTATAGAATTTAATAGGCTACTCTGTCATACTTAAAACAACCAGAGACTGCGAACAAGATGATATATGGGTCTGATGTTATTTTAATGAATCAGAATCAGATCTAACAGGATGTGAGTGTGTCTGTGACTTCCTGTACAGAGGCTTTTTGTTCCTGCCCTCTACTGCAGCTGCCCAATCTCATCCACTTCCCAGCCTAGGTACAGTTCATCTCGAACAAGCCTAATGTCTTTCTGTTGTTGCAGATGAGCATGCTACATATTGAGAAAATAACCCTGGTGATGTCATAGCGATGTCATCAGGGTTATCTCTCCTTGGGCTTGGATCATGGAACGTTTAGGATGCAGCCTTTTTGGCTAAAAGTTATTATATCTTAGCTTCCAGACCTTTTAATGTCTCATCCCATCTCCTAATATTAAGGAAGTGCAACACTAAGTTGTATTGTGGAGTGTGCCTTTAAAAAGAGTGGCCCTCTGCTGTTACCGCTCCACCTGTGGCTCCTGACAGACCTCGTTTCTCCTTTGTTTATTGTGAGACAGAGGATTCGTCACGGTGGGCAGAGTGTAATGCCCACACATAGCAACCACTCTCCAAACTGTCCCACGGCGAGCAATAAGGTGTCAGTTCACATACTGTACAGTGAATGTCACATTTTCAGCTGAGGGTCAGTACAGAGAGACCTGACTGCCATCTAGTGGCTGTGATGGAAGTGTCAGGAGTGCTCAGATCATTGTCCAGTCTGCATCCCCTCCACAGGAAGACCTTTGTACTACAGACTTTTTCAAGGCCCAGAGTGAGTTGTTGGGGCATCTATTGGCAGAAATGGAATATAATATTCATAAAATGTTTGCATTAGTTTATAATGAGTGTAATTTTTGTAAGAGTTATATAATAATAATGTAATCTCATACAACATATTTGAGCCTTACAACGAAGATAACACAGCCTAGATAGTCTAGATTAGTAGTACATCACTAACAGATCTAAATCAGCATCCGTTATTATGTCTTTGGCTCCTCTACAGTGAGCTATTTATGATTATTTGGTACTTTAACTTTGCAGCGTTGGCGGTGAGAGCAAATTCATCTGTCCACACATTATTACATTTTGTTTTTTGTCTCCCAGACTTTTACTGTTCTTTATTTGGAATCCCTAACTAGTTAAGGAGACTCAAGCTCGGCCACTGCTATTGAGGTTTGGCAGAATTTAGAGGAAAAAGCGCCAGGCAAAAGGTTAAAACTGAGTTATTCGGTATACAGGCTACATATTTTTACCACTGGAGAATGGGATAAGTTTTTTAGGCCTACAAGAATGATAAATGGCAATAAAAAAATAAAATAAATAACTAATTAATTTCCATGTGATTTTTTTTGTCACATGGAGCTACTGGAGAGGGGCTAACAGCTGCAAGTGGCTCCAGAGGTGCAGGTTGCCTACCCCTGTCCTACATGCTTAGCACATGGGAGAAGTTTCAGTTCTGTGACCTAATTACTAGGTGCCACTAAATTATATATACTAGATCTTGATTTTAAAAAAAAATGATGGATTTTAATCTTTCCTTGACTTATGTTCCATAACAAAGTCAATGACTGTAGGTGTGCATGTTTGTTTGTAACAATAGAAGGACAAAGCAGCTCCTTATTTGTAGACGCCTTCTAAAAATATGGACTTTGTCCCCGTTTCTATGTATGTCAAACACAGCTCAATGACAGTCAACAATCAGTGTCAGTATCATTTACAAGAAGTAGTAAAACACAATGCACCTGGCCCCAATGCCAGTCCCTGCAAGTGGTGGGCCCACATTTATTTGGGCTGAGCCCACCCGAGCCCCATGGTCCAAGGCCCAGCCATCACGCTTGCTGGCGAGCTCCCCGCTCCCAGATCCAGCTCCATAGGGGGGCCCTGGTGTCCCCATACCTGGCTAAGTACTCTGTCTCCCAATGTGCCATTTCATTGTGATTTTCTTGAACCGCTCCCTAGTCTGGCCCCTCCCCTGAGACCACTTTGCCCGGCTTCAGACAAGAAGTTGAAAATGGATGGATAGATGGAGTAAAACAAAAAAAAACTCAAAGCAACGACTCCCATCACACCAACATTTAATCTTTTAGGCCTTTAATTACAGCGACAAGAATTAATACAAAACAACAGAAAAGTTTACACAGTAAATTCAAACAATCAAACAAAAATGGCTCTTAGTTCTGTTAGTGAATCATAAATTCACTACCACTAACAAACAGATTATGGAGGGTTGTCAGGGGTATCCTCACATTAGAACAATAGTTTCAAAGCAAAATGGCTTGAGAATAGAATGGAAAAACATCTGAGGTCCTAAACAGTGAGATGGAATAAAACTTAATAAATACACAGTATAAAACTCAGTTCTACTCTCAAAATGTTTGTGTAATATAAAGAGAAAAAACCCAAGCACGCACCCTCTCCACTTTTAAATGTGGCCAAATAAAAATCGACAAACAACCAAAGAAGATCCAAGAATCCATTTAAAAAAAAAAAAAATAAAAAAAAATAAAAAAATAAATCACTCCAGCCTTTTCTTGATACATAATAAAGAACCTGTTGGGATGGATGGCTGTCATACATACACAGATAGATGAGAAAACAGTATCACAAAGAAATGACAAGACCTTTGTCATCTGAGAACAGAGTACAGGTTAAAGTCAAAACCAGCAACAAAAAAAGGGCCCAACACACACATTGGCTTTTCCCCATTAACAGGTGGCCTGCAGCCACCTAGTGGCTATAAGTGGTAATGGATGTCAACCTTTAGAAGTATGGGAACATCTCTCCTGCTGCCACAGCTCCACTAACTGTTGCTTCAGATCACAGATCAAAAGAATGGTCTCCATTACAAACTAAGGGCAGCTAACTGCATGGAAGTGCCAGCTCAGCTCTACGGTCACACTCCTGTGTCAGCGTGCTGCTGTTGGGTAGTGATGATAGAGGGACTGTTTACAGAAGGGGGAAGCAGACAACTGATAGTCCTGATCACACAGGTACAGTAAAGTTCAGGTGGGAGGGTCCAGAGAGGGAGCGTCCTCAGTCACTGTCAAACTTAATAGAGTTGACTGTAGTGGAGATGGCGCCGCCGCGGTAGCTTCCTCTCTTCTTCTTCGTCTTTTCGTGGCGGAATGATTTGCCTTTTGTGAACTTGAGCACGTTGTTGGCTTTCTGGCCCCAGTCCCCATCAGCTCCATACTGGAATATCAAAGACCAAAGAACATGTTTGAGGGTAAGTTATTGGCTCACCTCAGCAAATCTTAGTATGTAGTTCTGTTTGAAGAATGCTCGCAGTGGTTACTGAACTCACCTTTGCCTCAAAAGAATTGTCTGCAAGACGGGGATCCACCTCTACTTCTTCCTCTCTTATTCTACGGAACGGTACATTGGAGGTCTGAAAGACATAAGTCACATCTATAAAATAACAGCTCTTTTTCCTTCAGAAATTCAGGCTTGAGACTAAGTTCCAGTCTCCAGCAGGTTTTACCTTCTTATTGGCTTTAGGAAACGTCTGTGGTGTGGTTGTTGCGTTCTTGTTTTTTGGTGTATTGACTTCTGTCTCTTCTTCTTCCTCTTCACTCTCTGATGATGACTCTTCATCTCTTTTTCTCTTTCCATTTGTACCTGCATGAACCACAGGGGAAAAAAACAGTTATTTGTGCTAATATTGTGCTCTGACATCTCTCCACTTTGTGCATGTATAGGTCCTGTTTGTGCATGTGTGTGTCTTTCGGACCTGTGTGTAATTGACAAGCAAGAGTGAAAACATTGAATTTCCCCTCAGGGGGATTAATAAAGTAAATAAACTTAAACTTAACTTAATATTAGTCAACAATATACAGTTGGATGCAAACGTATGGGTGTTTCACTTCACTGTGAATAGCTAAACAAGTAAAAGACCTGTCGGGGGACTGTGAGGGCCTCAGGGCCATGGCAAAAACCTTCAGCTTGTGCCTCTTGGCATAGTCCATTGTGGATTTCGAGGTGTGTTCAGGATCATTATTCTGTTGTAGAAGGCACCCTCTCTCCATTTTCAGCTTTTTTACAGATGGTGTGACATTTGTAATGTTCCCCGTGCCACTGGCTGCAACACAAGCCCAAAGCATGATCGATCCACCCCCGTGTTTAACAGTTGGACAGGTGTTCCTTTTACTCTTTTTTCTTCAAACGTACCCTTGCTCATTGCGTCCAAAAAGGTTCTATTTTAACTTCATGCCCAACGTTTGCATGGTGCTCCTTTACTGTTTTTTTTCCACTCTAAAATTGAACAAAACAAAACAAAATACACTTATCCTGCTTAAAAAGCATGTTTCATCTTTAACTTCATGCCTTTTGGAGATCAGTTCATCTTCCACTTACTTAACTATAGAAGAAATTTTGACCATGGGTGCCCAAACTTCTGTATGCCACTGTAAGTGTTTCATGACCTTAACATGCATATAATTATGCTGCATTTAAAAGACTAATAAAAGTTGGGTTAAAACCCTAATGGCTAGGTTTCAGTGTGCTGTTTACCCATTAATACATTTATTTCTTTGTTAAGTGGCCACAACATGTTCAGTTTTTGTTCAAGACTTACCATTTGTTACAGGGGTGGTGGGTGCTGTGGCTGCTTTGCGTGGTGCTTCCTCCTCATCTGATGAGCTCTCTTCAGAGCTGCTGCTGGCATCTTTGGGTTTAGCTGCTGGGGTCGTCTTGGGTGTTGGGGCAGGTGTAGCAGGTTTACTTTTACTGGCCTCCTCTTCCTCTTCAGAGCTGCTGTCACTGGATGAGGACTCTGCTGGTTTTGCTGCAGCCTTGGGTGCTGCAGCCTTGGGTGTTGCAGCCTTGCCATTGGTGACTGCAGGCTTTGCAGGGGTAGACTTTGCTTCTGCCTCTGAATCCGAGCTGTCTGAAGACTCAGAGCTGCTCTCCTCAGCCTTCTTTTTTGGAGCTGCAGCTGCCTTTGTGGCTGTGGGTGTGCCAGCAGGGGCTGCTGCTGCTGCTTGTTTCTTGACTGCAGGTTTTGCTGCCTCACTCTCAGAGTCTGAGCTGTCTGAGTCAGAGCTGCTATCTGCTGCTGCTGCTGCCCCAGCCTTTGCAGCAGGCTTTGTAACTGGGACAGCTGGTTTAGCCGCTGCTGCTGCCTTGGCTTTCACTGGTTCTTCCTCATCCTCAGATGAGGAGTCAGAGTCTGAGCTGCTCTCTGCTGCAGCAGCAGCAGCAGGTTTTGCTGCAGGAGTAGCAGGCTTTGAGCCTGGTGTAGTTGACTTAGCTGCTGCAGGTTTAGACTTGACTGCTGGTTCTTCATCTTCAGAAGATGAGTCAGAGTCTGAGCTGCTCTCTGCTGCTTTAGCAGGCTTTGCTGCAGGAGTAGCAGGCTTTTTGGCTGCAGGTTTAGCCTTGACTGCTGGTTCTTCATCTTCAGAAGAGGAGTCAGAGTCTGAGCTGCTCTCTGCTGCTTTAGCAGCAGGCTTTGCAACAGGGGCAGCTGGCTTTGCAGCTGGTGTAGCTGGTTTAGCTGCTGTTGGCTTAGCCTTGGCTGGCTCTTCCTCATCCTCAGAAGAGTCAGAGTCTGAGCTGCTCTCCTCTGCAGCAGGCTTTGCTGCAGGAGTTGCAGGCTTTGAGGCTGGCGTAGCTGGTTTAGCCGCTGCAGGTTTAGTTTTGACTGCTGGTTCTTCATCTTCAGAAGAAGAGTCGGAGTCTGAGCTGCTCTCTGCTGCTTTAGCAGGCTTTGCAACAGGTGTAGCAGCCTTTGCAGCTGGCTTAGCTGCTGTTGGCTTAGCCTTAGCTGGTTCTTCCTCATCCTCAGAGGAGTCAGAGTCTGAGCTGCTCTCCGCTGCTGCAGAAGGCTTTGCTACAGGGGTAGCAGGCTTTGAAGCAGGGGTAGCTGGTTTAGAGGCTGGCTTGGCTGCCGGCTTGGCTTTCGCCGGTTCTTCCTCGTCTTCAGATGAGTCTTCCTCAGAGCTGCTCTCTGCTGCCTTGGCTGGGGGTTTAGAAGCAGCAGCAGGCTTCGGTGGAGGTGCAGTTTTAGCGGCAGGCTTTGCTGGAGCCTCATCTTCAGAGCTGCTCTCTGAATTTGGGAAGAAAAGCAAATAAGATTTTGAACATTTTGCTGACAGACACATGAATGTACGCTCAGTTGCCGGTTTATTGGGTAACACTGAGACAAATCCTACCACAATGTTCAGTCAAACACTTTAAACGGAAACCTAACATATCCTTCATGAAGGTAAATTTATAGTAGGTCTATTGTATTTGACTGCATTCATTTTAGTTAGGTGAACCTAATGGATGATTGAATGTATGTAACAAAGCAGGGGTGAGAACAGAAATAATTTCATAACAGACAGTTCTCTTGATTGGATTTAAATGATGAATATTACTGTAGCTTTGATCGCTCCACAAACTGCCAGAACAGGCAACAATATTTACTTGAATAGAAGCCAATTCAAGGTTTTACAAAAAAACAACAGTATATCACTTTTATATCAACAATGAGCTCACATGCTCAAAATCAGATGTCTCTTACCTGAGCTTGAGGACTCGTCTTTTTTAGCAGGAGTAGCCTTGGCAGGTGCAGCCTTGGCGGGTGCAGGTTTAGCTGTGGGCTTCTTTGCTGTCTCCTCCTCCTCTGAACTGGAATCCTCCTCTGATGAGTCTTCTTTAGCAGGCGTGGCTTTGGCTGCAACAGCTTTAGCTGGAGCAGCCTTAGCGGGAGTCACCTTGGCGGCAGGTTTCTTTGCCTCCTCTTCGTCCTCTGAACTTGATGAGTCTGAGTCTTCCTCTTTAGCAGGTGCAGCCTTGGCTGGGGCAGCTTTAGCTGGGGTGGCTTTGGCTGCAGACTTCTTTGCCTCCTCTTCATCTGAGCTTGAATCTGGAAAGACAAAGGCATGAAGAAATTTTTGTCATGTTTGGCATTCGGATCCCACTGAGTAGAAAATTACTAGGGATGGGTCACGAGTTGGGGCGATTATTCAAAAAATTGTCGAATAGTTGCCACGATTTTCGAATAGTGTTTTTGCTTGTGCTGCCCATCCCTAAAAATTACAGACTTGTCTGATCATTACCTGAGCTCTCAGAACTGGACTCCTGCTTCTTTGTAGCTGCGGGTGCAGCTGGAGCTTTCTGGACTGAGGCAGGAGGTGGGACTGCACTGTATGCTCCTACCAAGAAAAAGGAAACTCATCAGCATCATTACATTCAACAAAGGGCCTCTGTACAATATTTCAACCACTTAGGATCAGGTTATCAGCTTTTTACATTGTCTTCAGATAGGACACAACTGGTGGCCTGTCAGCACCATGGATGGCAATGGGCAAGGAGAAGAATGAGCAGTTTTGGGATGAGGTACTATAGTGTGGCAAGTTTCAATGTTTCAAGGTTATTTAAATGGACAAAGAAAAGAAAAATAAGAAATAAACAAGCCTATACCAATTTCTGGCTGGGGAGTATATGACAGGACAGACTAACTATATCCTGAACTAAATCTTATGTTAATTTCACTATTTTTCTGTGTAGCACTGTTTGACTGGGGTACACCAGTACAGCAGCATGTTAGGCAGCCAAGATAAGTGTCACCAAGTTTCTGACCTAATATTTCCCCTTCTGTTCCTGAGATAGGACATTGAATGATAGCCAGAAGACCTTTTCATGCAGAACATTATGTTCTGATGTCACAGTGAAGTTGACCTTTGACCTTTTGGATATAAAATATCATCACTTTAATATTTTATCAATTTGTGTGAAGTGTCAGGAACATATTTTGTGAGGTCACACTAACCTTAACCTTTGACCACCAAAATCCAATTGGTTCATTGTTGACTCTGAGTGAATATCTTGCAAAAGCTGAAGCAATTCCCTCAAGCTGTTCTTGAGATTTTGTGTTCCCGAGAATTACATAGATGCAAGGTCACAGCAACCTTGACCTTTGACAACCAATATCTAATCAGTTTATCTTCAATCTAAAGGAGTATTTATTCCAAATTTGAAAAAAATCCCTCAAGTCATTCTTGAGATATCATGTTTATTAGAATGAGACAGACAAGGTCACAGTGGCCTTGACCTTTGACCACCAAAAACTAATCACTTCATCGTTGAGTCCAAGTGAACATTTGTGCCAAATTTGAAGAAATTCCCTTGAGGCATTCTTGAGATATTGTGGTTACAAGGATTGGACTGACAGACAGACTGAAGGACAGACAACCCACAAACATAATGCCTTCGACCATGGCCATCACCAGCGCAGAGGGCTAAAAATGAAAAGCTATGCTCTGATTGGTGAATGTCACAGAACTCATTGCAAGTATAATTAAACCTTCCATGGTTGTCACTGGTAATCTTAGCACAACATTCCTTTTTCAACTATTCATTATTTTGTTGTTATTATGTTGTGTCTGAAAGCCATTGGGCATACAGGGATAAAGTACGAAAAGACATAAAAACAGACCTGCTTTGGGTTTTTTGCTGGGAGGAGCCTCATCTTCAGATGAAGAGTCTTCACTGCTTGATTCAGCAGCAGCTGCAGCCTTCTTTGCTGGGGCAGGTTTTGCTGGAGCAGGTTTGGCTGGAGCCTATCACAGCACGTAAAGTACATTGTATATCCATTTACCAAGTAAACTCACTATGGCTCTACATTTTTCTAATCTTTGGACAAAAAAGATCAAAAACATGTCATTTTTAGATGAGGCCAGATGATTTTTCATACCTTTGCAGGTTCTTCATCTTCAGAATCTGAGGAACTATCTTCACTGCTGCTCTCCTGCTTTTTCTGAGTTGTGCCTTTAGCAGCGGCAGCTGGTTTGGGTGTTGTGACTGCACCAGCCTTGGGTTCTATTATTCAGATAAGACACATTTTCATTATCAGCTCAGATTTAGTTAACAATTAAAGACAGTTGCATTACACAACATTAATGACTTCTGGCTCTAAACTCACTTGGTGCAGAGGCTTTGGCGGGCTGCTCATCCTCAGAGTCAGATTCCTCACTGCTGGAGCTGCTGTCTTTCTTCCTTCCTGCAGCAGGAGCAGCAGGCGGCTTCACGGCAGCCTACACGCAGAGACCACATTTTAATAATAACATAAACCCACATACATAGCTTTGCACAAATGACACGATCTGGGATGAATAATGTTTCCTCCTACCTTTGCAGGAGCTTTTGCATGTGCCTTCTCCTCCTCAGAGTCACTGGAGTCTTCACTGCTGCAGGATGCGGCTTTAGCAGCTGCTGCTGCTTTAGCAGGCGCAACCTTGGCTGCTAAAACAAACATTACAGAGAAATGTAATCTGATAATGCTGTGGGAGTTTTCAGAGTGGCACATTACTGACAGAATTCAATCACATCAAATATATTAATATTACCTGCAGGGGCTGCCTTTGCAGGTTTTGCAACAGCTTCTTCATCCTCGCTGCTTGAGTCTTCACTGGAGCTCTCTGCACTGGGTTTTGCTTTCTTGGCTGATGGACCATTTGAAGTTTCACCCTCGTTAGGAGGTGCTTTTCGTTTCCTGGCTTCAGGAGACCTAGAAGACCCACACCGATGTTAGAATTAGAAGAATTTACCCCAATAGAATTCACCTTTTATTTGTAAAATAAACAGCTTAGATTTTACTTTTGACCAGTTCCTCCTCAGGCTGGACCGAAGAGACAGAGCATACTGATGACAACTAGAGACAAATACATAAGCTGCTGCTGCTGCTGCTGCTGCTAAGAGAGCAAACAAACCCTAGGATACTAGGACAGCAGCAGCGGCGGCAGCAGGGATGCTACGGGTAAATGAATTTATCCTTACAGGGAATGCACACTGATCAGCATTACTATAAATGTTAAAGTGATAACCAAAGCGCAACAGTTGTCCATCAGCCAGATGTTAAATTGTCTGTTAAAGTAAAGTATTTTCTGTTGAACAACTGTAAGATGGATTTACAGAGTAAATCAATTCAAGGGTTTGCAGATCAAGTAAGTGTCACCTGATTATGTCACTAATTAAAACACTAATCTACTGCTAAGGAAAACTGTGCCCATGATTGCATATATTGGCTTTACAGCACATACAAAGCAGTGTTCAGTCTACTTAAGGTGGATTTTTACTTTGATGGCTTTTGAGGAACAGACATCTACATTTGATAGTGGAGAAAAACCCTGGCCATATTCTGAAAGTTTGCTGATATTAGTATAACTGCACAAGCTTTAGCATTACAAGAAAAACAATAAAGAACTCACTTCACCCAGAAGTTGTAGATGTTGACGAGGCTCTCTTCATTTTCATCTTGTGGGGTCTGCAGAGAAACACGTGAAGCACTAACTTAGCCACTACAAGCTGTTTTAATGTTGCTACAATTCAACAATCATTCATTCATCATCCCCTGATCAATATTTTTACACATCCGATCCTACACTAAATTTGACAACTCTCTCATTCTAAAACTATTATATTTTACATATTGCTTACAACATTATTTACGTATATTTTCCATATTCTTATTGAACTTATTGTATTCTAGATTTATGTTCTTGGCTTTATCAGCACTTTGCCCTTATTATTTCTTCTTAATGTGTTTATTTTATGCACCTAACACTAAGGCAAATTCCTTGTAAGTGAGAACATACTTGGCAAACAAACCTTATTCTGCTTCAGTTCCATACAATACAAAAAACACTGTATGATTCCCATTTACAATCTAATAGATGTGAATATAAATTATTTTAAAGTAACAACGTGGCAGCTGAAACACTTGCACATGTGCCCCCACACGTGCTAACTTCACCGGCGGCTGCACGGTCCCTCTACGTTACATAGCTATAGGTTTATTCCTCGTGCGGTTTGTCTTAGCAACTTCATGTCAGAGCTGAGGACAGACAGCACGAGCCGCTGACTATCAACAACACAAGGTGAGCCGCTTACCACTTTAGTCTGTTTCAGAAACTGCTGCGCCGCCTTGGTGAACTTGTTCTCCACCAGAAACGAATATACGCATTTGTAAAGATCGCTCGGCTTCGACTTTTCCGCCGCCATCTTCACCACGCTCCTTCTGGAAGGGAAGGAAGTGGACGGAACGGTCACTTGTGGGCATGCGCACTCGCGTATAACGGTGACGTCAACTTACGCTTAAAACGATGTATTTTAGCAGTAATAGGGTAATTTACCCCGCAGTTAATCGCTAAACAGTCTTGAACAGCGCCTATTTTTTTTTTTTTTTAAAAAAAAAAAAAATAATGGTAAGCATACATAACGGTTGGAGCTCTGAATTTGACAAAAAAGTGTCCGGTAGCACCAGGAAGTAAAGAGTGAGATTAGCTAACTAACTTTCCTCTCGGGATTTTATCGGTTTACAAAAACCGATAAAATAAAAAGCATAACTGTAGCATTACTTTATTAAAAGTACCACATTTTTTCATTTTCGAAATAGCCACTATGATCATACACGTAGACGCCGGATCGACTGCCTGAGCGCGTACTGCGCCGCCGCCATATTGGGTGGGTCTTCTCACATAAACTTACAGTCGAGCTTCAATACCCACAGAGAAAGGATGCCGGTATTTTGTGCAGCCTACGGTTGTAATAACCGGCGCAACAATGACACCAGATCGCGGGGAATTACCTTTCACAAGTAAGACTGAACACTAATTTGGTTGTGTTTGGCCATTTATAACATTATGTTACTGTAACTAACGTTATTTGGCCACTAGCGAAATGCTAACATAGCCAGCAGCTAGATTAGACTAGACAAGGCCAGCGATAGGGACAGCTATCAAAGCCGAGAATTTATAAATCATGTGAACCATAATCGAGATTTTCATCTAATTTTATTTTATGCTTTTCTCCACGCCGATTTTATGACAGCCTTATCTTCACGACAGCGACTGTCATGAATGTGGTTGTAGTTATTAGCTGGCTAGCTGCCAGCTAATAACTAGCTGTTTTTCGTTTGGGGGTTCCCGGTCTAGACCGATTCACGTCTCCATAAACGTTCAAATCAAACATGTAATGTACTCACCTCATAGGCACAGATGTTAGGAAGTTATACGGGGGTTGCCGTGTGTTTGTATATCCGTTATTTTTCACTAAACATGCATTTTATCTCGGGATGTCTTTAAATTTTCTTCACCCCTTCTTCGTCCTGCAATGAATGAGTGCATCGGCTTTCTACTGCGCCACTTTAGCGGTTGGGAGGTGTATTGCACATTGTTAGTCAGTGAGCAATACACCTGGCACCTGGTTTATATTTGAAATTGTTTTTCCTCATATGTTAATTTATACAAGAGAATGTTAAAACTTGGGTTGTTCAGTACTATTCAGGAGACAGGGACTGTCTTAACCCATTAGTACCTACAAATACAGATATAATAACAACATAACAGTATGGTTCTCCTTCAAAAAGTTTCCAAACAATTTCTTGGCATAATCTTTTTTTTCTGTCCTTAACCTTAATTTGAAGGGGGGAGTACTCTCTCCCTTTTTATATACATTATAGTGTAGACACTTTTACATCTCTCGCTGGTTTTCTCACATTTTGCAGATTTCCCAAAGATGAAAAGTTGAGGAGTCAGTGGGAAGTTGTGTTGAGAAGGAAGGGGTTTACTGCCACAGAGTCATCCAAGCTCTGCAGTAAGCACTTCAAGCCGAATGAATTTGACAGGACGGGTCAGATTGTCCGGCTTAGAGATGGTGCTATACCATCTGTGTTCAACTTCCCGTCTCATCTCCAAAGAGTAGGTGTATTATTACACTATTTGCTTACATAGATGTCTGATTTCATATGTAAGAATAAGTAGTTAATATCACTGTTTCAGGTATCCTAGTGCACAAAACAAGTGCCCCTCTTTGGTGAGGCCCTGTCATTGGCACATCAGTCGTCAATGAACTTATCATCTGGGGGGGATTATGTACTACTACTATAAAAAAAAAAATTCTTGAATGACCTGTATGTGTAAATTCAAGTAGAGTCGAAGCAAAACTGAAATCTAATCTCTCTGTCTTAATTTAACAAAAAAGATGTATTAACAATCACACTTTGCTGAACATGTTTTTTTTTCTATTTGTTCTTTCTACATGTTTAGGAATCAGTGATGTATTGTGTATTACAATACACACTGGGATACTAAAACCTGTTCAAATTGTTTTTAATTAAGTTGTTTTTAAATATTGTGTTTCTTCCATTTTAGCCAGTAGCAACCAGGACCACAAAAGCTTCGAGGAAAGCTGAAAAGAGCCCACAAGTGGACCTTCCTCAGCATTTCCTTGAAAGTGAACCTCAGCCCAATGTTGTAAGTATTTGTATTTGATATGTCCAGTCCCATACAGCTGTGAGCATCATGGCCCTGGTCATATTAAAACCTCTCCCTTGCTTTTTGCTACTCTTTTCAGACACATTCACATATACACATGTGCACACTTTGAAATGTGCCACTGTTAACTACAGTATGCATCCCACGCACGCACGCACTTACTCATATCCACGGTACTTGCAGTGGTATTTACAGGTATGACATCCTTCTTTCTACTAGGACCACACCTATGCATTGCCTGATTCCCCCACTCATCTAAAGGCCAGACTCACTGAAGCTTTGGCTAAAGTGGAGAGTCTGGAGCGAGAGAAGCAGAATGCCAAGAAAAGAGAATGGAGGGCAAAGAAAACAATCGAGAGTCTTCTGGAGGATCTGAAGAAAAAGAACCTCATAACTGATGAGCTGAAGGAAGAGGCTTGATTTCTACTCAGGTAAAATTAGATGATAATACAACTTTATGTATATGTTATGTTAACAGTCTTTGTTAGAATTCATATAGGTATTATTTCAAGGGGACTTACTAATTAGTTTGTACGAACTGAATTTCAGATCTTCAGATAGATCTCCTTTCCAAGCGGGGGCAAGAATACACAAAGGACCAGTGAGACTTTGCCCTCACACTCCACCTCCATGGTCCAAAAATGTACACCTACCTGAGGGAGTCTCTGCACCTTCCCCTCCCACATCCACATACATTGCAAAGGTGTTGTTCATGTTGTTTGATTACACATATATTTAAACATACTGGTTCAAGTACTTAAACCACTTCAGCCCCACATAATATGTTGTATGACAAACAGCAAACTGATGTACAAACTGCGAGCTTGTAGATCTGCTATTTTCACTATTTTTGAATGTCTTGGAAAAAGAGAATAATTTTAGAAAGAAAAATGAAAGAAAGAAAAAGTGCCCAACATAGGGATGCCAGGGTTAAAGTGCTTAAATAGCTATTTGTTTTCTTTTTGCAAAGGTGGATGAAATCGGTGGATGCCAAGCTTGGACTCAACATGATGATGTTGGACATGTTGCAGAAAAGGCATGAAGAAGATCCAACTAAATATGGTTGTGTGGCACTCATGTTGGATGCCATGGCCATCAAAAAACATGTGCAGTACAACCCCCATATGCAAAAAATGTCTGGATTTGTGAATATGGGGGATGGCACTTGATGAGACTGATGTAGCCTCTGAAGTGCTTGTTTTTATGGTGTATGTTTTATGCTATACTATGTTTTGTATTATGTATATTGTGTTTATACAGTATATATGTTTATACAGGGTTGAGGTGAATAAAAGAACTGTGTTGTGACCTAAATAACATACTTTTGCTATCTCCAGAAAGTATTACAGCATGAAATCCCGCATTTTTAATTTACGAAAGCATCCTGTATCATAACTACATGTGTGCCGTTTGTAACAAACCAAACCGCTTGAAAATCAGTTGAAAATTCAGTGAGTTATTCTATTTTACTCATTCTACTTGTGCATACAGCTCCTTCCTCAATAGAAGTTTGTTTTGTTTTTTTTTTTAATTGTGCGACACACAAGACCTTACATACAGACATACGCCCATAGATACTTACAAACCTACATGGGGTGCAGAGATACACACAAAGCAAGAGTAAAAAAACAACAAAAACAGCCAGAGGCCTTTACAGATCACTTCCACAAAATTTCTCCATAATAGAGTATGTTTTTGCGGCTTTCTTATTTCTAATGTCCTTGATTGTGGCAGCATAATGGTGCAGTTCTTGTCGAAAGGGTACAATGTTTGGTTTAGATTTGACCCATTTGTTTTTATGGATGTGAAATTTCCCCAAACTCAAGATCAACTGACAGAAAAACACAAATCTTTGTCTTGGTCATCAAAATAAATAAAAATGTGTTTTTCCTGGAAACTGATCATTCTTCCTGTTTTCTCTTGCACAAAATGTTGAACATCTTTCCAAAAAGTTCTACTGTAAGTACATTGATAAAATAAGTGAGAGATGGTTTCATCTTCAAGTCCACAGAAATCACACATATTCAATGTCCAGTTTAAATCTTTCTGGTGTTTTCTTTGCAGGGTAGATTTGATGTAAAATTTTAAACAAAACTTCTTTCACCTTGTTATTAAGACAGAATTTGTCACCAACCAGCCACGCTTTATGCCAGTTAACCTCTCCAATTGTGCAGTCCAGTAAATTTGACCTCTAGGCAGAATCCTTGATTGTAAGCAGCATCTCAAATATGTGTTAGAGCAGGATTTTTTTTGTAATGTCTACTTCGCCCACAAAAATATCACAATTATAATTTTCTGCAACAGCAGCATTTCTTGCAGTCCCTTTAAGAAGCTGCAGCACACCCTGTGGTAGTGCATCAAAAATCACAGCATATTTCTTCGACGTGACTGGCCTTCCTCAATAGAAGTGAATGCACTGTGGACTGTGGAGGCGAAGCGAGACCCATCCAAGATGGCGGCCGGCTAGGACTTCGGCTCTAATGTCGTTATCAATATAGGCGCATGCTTTTTACGTCATCACCGAAGACCTTCCTTGTCCCTCGTGTCATAACATGGTCGACTCTGAGCCACAGTTACAGTCTATGCTCTGAGCTGACTCTTCTGGCAGTGACAGCAACCCACTGCTGAATTCAAAGCGTGAATCGAGGACTTCTTCGCCGCTGCCATGCCTCGCTACGAGCTGGCCCTGATCCTGAAGGCGATGCAGCGGCCGGAGATGGCGGCTGCTCTCCGGCGGACAGTGGAGACTTTGATGGAGCGAGGCGCGGTGGTGAGGGACTTGGAGAACCTGGGGGAGAGATTGCTGCCCTTCAAGATAACCAAACACAATCAGAGGCACACCCGGGGGGCTTACTTTCTGATCGATTTCTACGCAGCCCCCAGCATCCTCACAGGGTTATTAGACCACTTGCATCGTGATGTGGACGTGGTGAGGCCCACTGTGCTGAAGAAGGACGACCAGGTCTCCAGTAGTAGCTGCTGTGGCCCCCAACAGTGATTGAATGTAAGGAATGGCTGATAAGGGTAAAGGTGGAAAAGCTACACTATGCATCTGTTTGAAACCAAGAGTATCAAACAACTCAATACATTTGCAAGGCTGTGACACCCAAGTTGTGCTGTTGTTGGTTAATGAATTGACAAAAACAGTAACTGGAGTTTATGAATTCACTGTCAGCTGACCAGCCAATTGACTAATCATTTCAGTGCACCCTAGGTTAATAAGAATGTAAATAAGTTAGTGGATTTGATCTAAAAATCTGTGAAATTGTAAGCTGTTGGTTAAAACCAGTTGAAGTGATGTACAAAACTACCACTACAGCCCCAATTCCAAAAAAGCTGGGACGCTATGTAAAACGTAAATAAAAACAGAATGCAATGATGTGAGAATCCTTTGCGACCTATATTCAATTGAGTACAGTGCAATGACACAATATTTAATGTTCAAACTGATTAACGTTTTTTTCTTTGTATATACACTCATTCTGAATTTGATGTCTGCAACACACAATATGGGAAAGTTGTTGAATGTAAACAGGTTATTGGTGAGTGACAGGTGATAGTATTATGACAGTCTGAAAGGGGCATCCTCAAAGGGCTCACTTGTTCACAAGCAAGGAGGGAGCAATATTCATTGCTTTGTCACAGTCACAGTTTAAGGACGCTTCTCAACACACAGTTATAAAGAATTTAGGGTTTCACCATATACAATCCATAACAAAACATTTCAAAGAATCTGGAAAAAAAACTTAGCATATAAGGGGCAAGGCTGAAAATCAACATTGAATTCCTGTGACCTTTCACTCAGGCAGTACTGCATTAAAAACCAACATGACTGTATAAACGATATTACCATATGGGCTTTGGAACTCTTTGGAAAATCATTGTCGGTAAACACAGCTCATTGCTGCATCTACAAATGCAAGTTAGGACTCTTCCATGCAAAGAGAAAGCCATTTATCAACAACATCCAGAAACACTGCTGACCTCTCTGGGCCCAAGCACATCTGAGGTGGACTGACACAAAGTGAAAAGTGTGTTGTGGTCTGACCAGTCCACATTTCAGATTGGCCTTCAAGCTAAAGAGGAAAAGGACAGTCCAGATTGTTACCAGCACAAAGTTGAAAAGCCAGCATCTGTGATGGTATGGGGTGGTGTAGTGGCCATGGCATGGCAAACTTGCTCATCTCTGAAGACACCATGAATGCTGAAGGGTACAAACAGGTTTTAAAACAAGATATGCTGCCAACCACAAACTGTCTTTTTCAGGGACATCCCTGCTTATTCCAGCAAGACAATTCAAAGCCACATTCTGCATGTGTTACAAAAGCTTGGCTTCATAGTAAAAGTGTGCAGGTACTAGACTTGCCTGCCCATAGTCCAGACCTGTCTCGCACTGAGCAAGTGAAGCACATTATGAAGCGCAAAATATGATGATGGCAACCCTGGACCGTTGAGCAGCTGAGGTTGTATATCAAGAATGGGATTTTTTTTTTTTTTTACTTTCCGTAATTTAACAGTTAGTGTCCTTTGCTCGCAAACGCTAACTGAGTGCTGTTAAAAGAAAATCAGAATCAGAAATACTTAATTGATCTCAGGGGGTAAATTGTATAACATTACAGTCACTCTGATGTAAAGCATATAGAATAACAAGAAAGTAGAAATAAAAAGTATGAACATATAAAGTATTTAAATATATAAAGATGAAAATATGTGCATTATGCTACAATGTTGACATTAGTATGTAAAATATTTAAAAATATAAAATGTGTATAATATGCTAAGTATGTGAGCGTGTTTAAAAATCTAAAAATATGTCCATTTTGCTACATTACAATGTATTAAACAAGTATGTAAAGTAGTAGAAATATAAAATGTGTATTATGCTACAATGTACAACACAACATATACATAAATAGAAATAAGAATAAAAAAAATAGAATACCAAATAATAATAATTCAGAATGAGTGTATGGTTTACCAATCTATGAGTTTGAACATTAAATATTTTGTCTTTATACTGTATTCAATTGAATATAAGTAAAACAAAAAGATTCACAAAACATTGCATTCTGATTTTACTTAGATTGTACACACCTTCCCAACTTTTTTAGACTTGGGTTTGTACTAGGCAACTACCAGATACTTATATTCCCTTTACTGATTTGTAGACACTGCCCTGCCTCATGACTGTGGTGTTCTGACTTTTAGTACGTGAAAGTCATCTTGGCCTTAAAGGACGTGAAAGGCACTTTTTCGGAAGAAGTGAATTGCTTATGTAAATAGTTAGAGTAACGAACTTGCTCAACAGTATAAGGTTTGAAGGTAGTGGCCGTCTTGTAGTTAACAGGCGAATAAAAAAGAAAATCAAGGATAAATCAGTAAAAACTAATTAACAAGAAGTTGCAGTACAAAGTGCCAAATACATTAATTTAGAAATTTGTCACCATTACATAGTTTGACCACTGAAAAACACTGCTTGTTGTTCAACTTAGTACATGCCACAAATCTTTAAGAAACACCTGTCATTGATCTTTATGAAAATGTTACTGGTATGTGTCTATCATAAAAAACAACCCTCAAATACTAATATTGCTATCATCCTCAAAAATTCAGTACTGGTCAGCTTTAAGACATGGTCAGTGTAACCTTACACTGACTTCATTAAATGTGTTCATGCAGTCAGTGCCCTTAACCTTCTGTTTATGGAGATCATGCTGTGATGACTGTGCTCTAACTTAACCCTGTGTAATGGTTGTTTCCTTTTGTTTTACAGGTTTTTGCAGCTGAAAGCCAGAAGATGTACAGCGTGATGCTTCCCTCTTTGACCTTTTCCATAGTTGTTAACCTACATTTGTATGTTATGTCATAATAAAGTACTTTTTTCTATCATAGTTTCAAGTTTGTCTTGTGATCTTTTTTACATTTTAGACAATGCACTCCACATGGTGTTTAGTGGTTTATGCAGTTCTGCAGTTTTTAACTGGTTGAGCAAATATCCAGACTTGATCACTGCAGTCTGAGAAAACACTGTTCAGAAATAAGGAGCTATTACACTGCCACTGAGCTTCCAAACCGGGGTGAGTTGTCCTCATGGGATCAAATTAAACAACTGCCCCATTATTTTAAGAGATCAAGGTTGCTAATGTTTTTCAGGGACTTTTTCCAGCTTGTTTGTCTTAGCTGGAATGGCATTTGTGTAAGTTGGTCCACATTTGTTTGGCCATACCTAACTCCACTGTAATCACACCATGCATTTATGTCCTGGGAGCAGTTGAAACTTACAGTTGATTCTTGCTGTTTTTGTCTCTCTGTTAAGACACTGAGAAATAATATTTAAAGTGATAAGCTATACAGACACTACAGAAATAACTGCAAAATGAAAACCGTGGTGTTTAATATAAAAATAAAGCTGGAAAACATTCCCCCCAAAACATCACTAACCACTAAAGAATTATGAAAATAGACCTAGTTCACACTCCTGCTAAATATATGTGTGTTTGAATGTCTTTCAAGTACGTCTTGATCTTTACACTATGATCACATCAGTCACGCCGAGGCGGAGTCACATGTCTTGTCAGCTGACAATGAGACACCATAAAGGCATCAACAAGCCTCACCGTCTGCATTGCAGTGCTCACCGCTCTACAGCCGATTTCACCCTTCACTGAGACATACAAACAGTCCGACGAGCCGGAAAACAGCGGAGTCATGCTGCTCCTAACTCTGCTTTTCGTGACCTCAGGTAATATCAACACGTATGGGAATAAGATAATGCTGTTTTGTACGTCGTCCATACCATGGTGCACTTACATTAAAGGCTTTGTGGTTGTGTAACGTTAACTAGCTAAAAGCGTTTCAACATGAAACGCGGAAGCGTCTCGTGCGGCGTTTGCTGTG